ATTTAATTTTATTTCAACTAAAAATATTGAATTAAAGCACCCATAAAAAGAGAACAAACAAATTAAAGTAAAAGATAAAGATGGACCCTTTTTATATTAGCATAAAATTTTACTTCATATTCAAAATAATTACTATCAAACAATATTATGCAAGAACCATAATTCTTCATATGCCAAGCTAAGAATATTAATTGTTGGATTAATATGATTTACTCGTACCGGCTTTCCTTCGAGCTTGTGTCCACAACCGGGACACTGCTTGGATCCGCACATCTGATGCTCTTCAAGCTTTGCATCAATGAGATCAGAACTTCTGATGGACCCCAAATTACTCTTACTCATTGCTCTTTTCAAATGAAATGCTATCTTCTTCTTTCTCTCAAACTCATCAACATACCGTCTTCTGTGAAATTTTCGTCATCCTTGTAAAAACGCCTGCTGCTCATATCCCAGCCGCTTTCTCTCTATACACAAATCATACACAAATTTGATTGAGATCTGCTGATGAACTGTATGCACAAAAGGGTACTCTTAAAAAAGAGTAATGAAAAACATATATTTGATATAATATATATATATATATATATATATATATTTGCTGGATTGATTCTGGGAATTTGATTGAGGATCGAAATACGAACTAAATATCAAGCAAGAAGAACAGCTTCATCAAGCTAATGAAGAAAGGAAGCAAAATATCGTAAACAAGTTTTGAAAGCTTGTAAAGTTTTCTCCCTTTGCCGAATCCAATTAATATGAAAAGGTGGGATTTTTGCAGAACCCAAGTGAGATATATGAAACCCAAGACAGAAATACAGATATTTTGATTGAGGAAAATCAGTGAGGAGGAGAGAAGAGGGATCTGAGGTAAGCTAGGGAGAGAAAAGGAAAGAAACTGTCACAGTGAGAGATTGAGCTATAAACCTGCTTTAACCATGGAAAACACCAGAGAGAGAGAGATGAGAGTTTCCCTCTCTACTTTAACTGAAGGGGCAGTGAGAAAAAAAAGGAAAAGTTGTCCTCAAACCCCTAACTACATACCACCTTTAAGCCCTTAAAGCCTTATTTGCAAGGCGGTTTGAGAGAGAGAGAGAGAGAGAGAGAGAGAGAGAGAGAGAGAGATACGAGAAGAGGATAGAAAGAGAGAAAGAAAACCAAGTTGGTTTTGCTCTAAAGAAAGCTAGAGAGCCTTGACTACAAAAGCAAAAGGCAAGAAACAGCCTTCACAGCTGTTACTAAGGCACAAATACAAAAGCAGATGAACCCATCTTTGCAATATTTATATATATTTATTGAAAAAATTGATTTATACGTATAATATTATAGTATATAGGAGCCCTAATATATATGTGTCTATATGTATATAATAATGGTTGGTATTTTCATGGTAAAAGGCGGACAAAATAAAAAGAAAAAAACAAAGATATATATATATATATATATATATATATTGAATGTATAATTAAGTAGCAATTGGTAGAGTGTTTTGATAATTAGAGCAATTTTTTACCATCTCATTACGTCCTGATTTTAAACCCTCCTCATTTTTTTAGTCTAGCTTTGAGTAGTACGTATAAGGTTTTAAACAAGAAACTTATAATATATACATATGTTTATACTTATAAAACAATGGTTTGGTATTTTTGGTAATAGGTGGATGTCAACAAACGTATTTAAATTCATGACAAAAAAGAAAGAAAAAAAAACAAAGATAGATATACTTGTATATATATATATATATACGTGGCAGCAGAAACTTTGAGTGATAGAGACGAAATCAGGAATTTTACAGTCCCACTATTTTTTTATTTTCCTACAAAAGTTTTAGTTATGAGGCATATATAATAAAGCCAAAAAATTGTTCAAAAGATATATTGTAGAGAAAAAAAAGATGATTGGTGCTCACATGGGTATTGAGCTGGAGTGCTGATCATGATGCTTTGGCCATGAATGTTGCAGAGAGAGAGAGAGAGAGAGAGAGAGAGAGGCATTAGAAGGTTGCTTGATGTGCAAGGCAAATAAGCAGTATACTTAATGGACCACCACCACCCCTTTTAATTACAACTTATGCAAAAAAACATATTATAAAAAGAAATAAATAAATAAAATCTAGAGGAAACTTCAGGTAGAAGCACCCACCGAGTAAATAAATTACCTCATCCGAAAAGAAATCATGGTTTTTTGCCTGCAAAATATATTTTTCTATGGCCTTTGTTTCTGGCTTGTGTTATTTGTATTTAGAGGAGGATGTCTCGGGTACTGCACACTCATACAAAGTATGTTAGCCTCCTCCTACATTTGAAAGAAGTGGGGTCCCCAAAGGGTGGGACTTTGATCCTTGTGGCCTGGGAAAATCTTGTGCTATCGAAAGTGTCTTGATATGCATCAGATGATGGTGAGCCCTTCACGTTTATAACATTCATTCATTCATTCAAGCAGTCAAAAATAAAATGATGGATGGTCCAACATGCTGTTTACACAACAGATACATGTCCATGATTGCTTATTTGTCTGATACCTCCCCCTTTGTCTTTTTTTTTTTTTTGCTTTTTCTTTGTTCTTTAATTAAAAATAGAAATCCTTAAGTTAACTTATTTTTATTCCATTTTGGGCTTAAATCGTAATTTTCTTAATGAAAAGATCAGATATCATTGATTCTGGGGAATATATAACAGAAATACGAGACAAAAATCATGAATTCAACTTGTTGAAAACCTTGGATTGGTCCCTTTTTGTCCCTAGGGAATGAAAGAATTAGATTGTCCTATTGTATTATTCAATAAAAACAGCTTATATAAACACTTTTTTTATGCTTTATTGATACTTCGTATGGAAAAATTCTTTAATGTAACGATCACTACCACGTAGTACCAACGGATAAAAACGACACAGTTAAATTTCATAAACTTAGGATCTAAACTTGAGTTATAATAATTAACGTATGAGGTGAATATATAGGTAACTGCACAGTTACACTAAAAAATTTCTTCAGTATATGTGGCATGTCCATCTACAAATTTTTTTGTATTTTAAAACTGGAAACTGCTATGTCTTTTCAGCAAGAGGAAAAATTGAGGCAAGGAATATTTACTAATAAGGGACAATTCAAATTTATATGGCATGATTTGCATATGAAATATTCCAAGAACTTTCAAAGCTCTGCATTATTTGGGCACATCTTTACGAGGAAAATACTCCCTCTTTATGAATTATATAAGTAAAGACATGTATGAGAATATTTGCTACAAGTAGGTAGAATAATACTTGGTACATGTCAAAGAATATATAAATTAAGATTCAACCCAAGAATTAAATTCTTGAATATAATATAAACCTTGCAATTTGTATTTTATATTCATAAAACCCTCTGAAAAAGTTTCCTGAGCAAAATTCAAGACAAGATTATCGGGAAGGACAAGGACTTGGTTAGAAAGTCGTGATGTCCGGGACCGAAAGGAAAATGCTTAATACGGTTACCCGTATTCAAGCACCTGCCTTTTCAAATGTGGACATTTTTTCTTGAAAATGCTTGATAGGCATGCTGCATGCTAACACACATACATATTTACAATTGAATATGGTTCGTGAAATCGTAGATGAGTAAGAGCACCTCCAACTATACTGGTTAAAAAATAATCCGTTTCGACTTGAAATGATGTAAATGTACGTTGTTTATAACTAGCCACTTTCATAATGCTCTCCAACATCGCTAGCCAAAGTTTGGAAAGCTTTGATTGTTTCTTTAAAGTAAAACTCACATTACTTAAAAAATGTAGTACATTGGAAGGGTTTTTCTAGAGTCACTTTCTCTCCCTTGTGAGCATCCATTGTTTGGAAAACTAAACTTGACTCACGGAAAACTAATTTGTTTGAAGAGTATTGTGAAGAAATTTGAGTTGAAAAGAGTTTAGTCAATTTACTAAAGATTTCCTCAAAGTTGTAGTGTCGGTAAACATTTACCTCCGCACTCGAGGCCAAAGTTCGAATGATCTTAAACGTTTGACCATTTTGTAACCAAACAAAATACACTACACATATAGTTCATGAGTTTTGGTACAAAATGCAAAAGGAGACTACTCATTGGGGGCGGGACGTTGTCATAAAAAATATGGTTTGTAGAAAGCAAACAACGTACTTTGATTTGGAAGAAAATATTGTTCATGATGATCATAAGTTTATGATAATGGTGTTTTTGCATGCATGTTTTAACACATTCCTCATTGCCAATCTCATCCCGTGGTAAAACTGCGTATGAGTGGATGAGCGGGTGAGTGGGTGGTTGCCAAATGCTAATGGATGTTCGCCACAAATGGTAAATCCCTCGGCACATTCATGATTTCTCAAAGCACAAAGTGAGAGACAAGTAGAGGCGACAAAAGACACGAATAATATAATTTTCTTTTTCTATTTTACTTCTCTTTTCTTTTCTTTGTTTTGTACTTTTTCCAGACTGGGCAGAAGATTGAGAGGGGGAAGAATATTCAGAATTTTGTCCCTAAATCTCTTCATCTTTATATTTATATTAGAGTAGATGTGAGTTAAATTAGTTAATTAAAATAATATATTTACTCCTCAAGACATGAGTTACATCAGTTGATTAGGATAGCATATTATCATAGAATATCGTAAATAGTTTAGAATATATTGTCTAGCTAGAATATAATATCGGATGCTCATCAATGTAATATAGAACATCGTAAATAGTTTAGAATATATTATCCAGCTAGAATATATTATCATAGAATTTTGAGTGTACGGACGTGCAAGATTTGTCATGGTAAGTTCGGTACGACTCCGAATGGTTGGGAGAGCAGAGCAGTGCCGATGTTAGGTTCATCTACAATATCTAACATTTGCTTCCATTTCTTCAACAATTTGCACTTTGACTTTTCCATCAACGTTTGCTAATAAAATTAGACATAATGATACAATAACAATGGCATAACCATCGTCTGATAAACTATACCAACAAGAGATGCATATAAGATCGAGACTACGTATTGGGTTAATTACACTCAAGATTACGTATATTTTCTCATTCATCCGAAATGTTCTTATACAAGCTCTAGCGTATGTGGATGCCAAGCAAAACGAAGACAACAGATCAGCTTAATGCCCAGTTTGGCACACGAAAGCAAATTCATTTTAAATGGAACTTTTCGCAGACTGAACCGTAGCTTGGGACTCCGGTAACATGAACAGAGGATTCTCAGTAAGATGATAACCTGCAATCACCATATGATGCCATTGTAAGAGGGGAAGATAAAAGCTTTTAACCAATAGGAGGGATATCCTTCAACGAAACCTCATCCACAGCCTTCAAGAGATGGCTCAGTTTCCTAACAAGGAAAAAAAGTTTCTGTGAAGATAAAAACCAGAAACGAACTTCTTTCAAGTGGTTTGTACAAAGGCGTAAACATGTAAGCAGCATAAGGTATTGATAAACCTAGGAGTTCCATGTGAAAATATGCGTGTGAGAGGGATAGGAGCACCGACGCTGAAATAGATTGGGGCTTTTTCCACAATTATACCAATACCAATCATGTGGTACAATCTATAATGGACGAATAGCACAATATGCTTGCAATGCATTATCGTACAATCCATTTTCGTAAAACAGATAACTAACAAGCAAGGTCCGCATTAGCAATCAAAAATGCATTAGGCAATCCAACACAGTTCAACACTAATATATACAGGTACGAGAAAGGCCTTACCAATCACCGTACGTCAGAATTTGTCTCCCAATGGCTGTTCCGAAAAAAATCTGGACACTGAAATCCAGAGACAGCTCCCAGTATAGTTTAAACAGAAAATAAATTCTCCTTATTCACATTTTCACATGACATATGGTAGTTTCTTACAGTGGAAGCTTGGATTCCGAAAATGCCAGTATCGTTGTAGATGCTACTGAATGCTAAAATCGAATGAAATTCTGAATATCGATTTAACACACGGGAATCTGCTCATCACGTATAGCACATTAATTCAGATGCCAAGGCTATTTAAACCAGAATAAGAAAAAAAATGAACACTTCAGATCTAAAAGAACGGAATAGATGAAATATAAAAGGGACTCTACTTCCTAGTGGCTAGTTGAACAGAACCTCCTGAAGCACTAATGTCCATGTTATACTTTTTTTAGTTGGACTATTTAAATTTCTGCTTGTCGTTTGGAAACTTACATAGACGTGAGTGCATCCCTTTTCCAGGTCCACCGGCTGAAAAAGATTCACCACCTCCCATTAGTGCCTACATTAAACTGGATTCGTTACCGCTTTCCAACTTTCAATCCTAATAAAGAGCACAGAGTAAAATTCTGAAATGCATATAGCATACATAAAATAAGAGCAACACTTGAAAGCACACTAAGGAGAAGTATTAAAGCATCAATTTTATTTTTTTGGGGTGGGGGGAGGGGGGCGGAACACAAGGAGTTATAGTTACTAGAGAAAGACGATAGTTGATATAGACCTGAAGTGTATTCAGAGTCATTGCATCCCTCTCATTGTGCCAGCCACCAGGAAGTTTAAATGCAAGGTCACAACGAGTTTCCTGTCATGCAAGACAAATCATACTTTTAAGTTACTGGATGAAAAAGAAAGAAGGGATAGATAAATTAGATCAAATAAGCACTTCCATGAACGACCGTGCGTACCTCTGACCTTAAGGAAACTATTTTGACACAATTCGGGAGAGTTGTTATCTTAACATCTACTGGTTGAACATGGTCAGGCAATGCAGGTGGGAGGTTGATGCCTGAAAGAAGCAAGCCTAATGGAGGCATAGACCTGGACTTTTCCCCAATCAGCCAGCCAAAACAAACCTCGGAAAGGAGAGGAGGAGGAGGAGGAGGAGGAGGAGGACGGCTTCGTTGCAACATCATTCAAACTTGAAAATCTGGCCACTCCCCTGTTAAACGCGCTTATACGACCCTAATATCCCCATCGAAATCTGCGAATAGAAAAGTTACATTCTATCAGACTATCAGCGTACATGAAATAACACAGAAATTTTGTATAGAAGCTAAAAGACTGAACCTTTCGTTTTCGGGTAAATTACTGAGCATCTCAACTTCCACCAAAACATACAGAACCTTGAAAAACTTGATCTTTACTAAAACATAGCGAATTGAATTTTTTTTTCTTTTGTGGGCGTCATGAAAGTTGAATTTGCTTCTCAAAAACTTGAACATTACTACTCTGAAACGAATTGAATATAACTTTACTAAAACGTAGTGAATTGAATTCACGCTGAAAACATTGAACTTTACTAATCTAACGGATTGAATTTTACTATCTTAACGTCGCAAACTTCCAATTTTCTTACACTTTCTCGGCATCCAAACAACCATCACGCATTACTAAAATCCAAATGAAATCACCAAATTATCAGAGACAAGTACTGACCTTGAGAGCCCTAAGGCGCGAAGCTGCGGTTTTGAACATGGCGGCGATCGGAGGGTGCCGATCACCTTCAAAATCCTTGACCGTACGGACTTTGATTCGCTGTGAATTTTTGGTGGAAGGATTTGGGAAGAGTGGAGGAGGAATCGGATGTGAGGGACTGGCTGGCAAGTGCTGGTGCCACCATTACCGGTTGCGGAGGTCGGATTCAAGCGGAATTTTGCGAATGGGGAAATCTGGGCCGTAGAATTGACGACAAGATACAATCCTTACATTGACGGCTGGATTAGTGCCAAGTCAACACTGGTGTAAGCATGAGCAAATATACCTTGCTCATACTTACACGAGCGTCCATGAAATGTATTAATTAACGAAAAAAATTTGGATTTTCCTTTTCTAAAACAAAGAAAAAACACCACCAATTATTGTCTCATTAAATACAAGTTTAAAAGGTATTAATTAACGAGTGTACATGAAATGAAAATAACAATATCAATTGATGCGTGTTAAATAAATTTTAAATACTGTTAGATTCATTTTTTAGTGTACACGAAATACCATTATTCAAGTTTTTAAATTTGAAAGTTAAAAAGTAGTTTATTTGATCCATTTCAATCTTTTGATCACTCAAAATCTCGCTGGAACATACGAATTGATTCAAAGTGAGTGTGTTAAAATTCCTATATTTTGTTATACAAATGAAACGTTGCCATTTGTGTTTTTATGATAAAATACTTCTTTTATGAAGTTGTCATGTTTTTGTTAGACTATTCGTCAAATATTTATAGTATTTATCTCAGATTGCGGGCGGGACAAGTGGTCGCATTCCATCTGTTCAATATTCTAGCAACTTATGAGCATCAAAGAATGTGAATATATCCTTAGTGCTAAGTAACTCATGGTGATGCTAAAGTTAATGAGACAATGATCCTTATTCAAATGATGATTCTGTTTAGAAAATGATCTGGAAGACCAAGATTTTAAACTCTTTGGAATCCTGCTTCCTGCCAACTTGGAAGCAAATTCGAACTAATTACCTCCATTTCCAGAAGCTTTAATTAAGATGAACAATGAAATGGATTAACGTGAACATGAAGTGATGGAAAATGATAAAACATGATGAATTTTATAAGAACATTGTCAAATTATTAAAGGTACGGAAAATTATGGAAGTCCAATTTTCTAAATATTGGATTAAGATTGAGAATTTATATGCAGAGAAAGTCCATGAAATGCTTGAAAATGGAATGGAATATATCATCATTCTTTTTAAAAGGACGTAAGGATAAGTTCAGTGCTACTAGTTGCAGTTGTAGTTGCTTCCACCCATTGGGGTGACCTTTTGTTCCTACTTTAAACTCTAATGGATGATTAGAAAAAGACAATGTAATAAATTTCACTACTAGTTACATTGAAACATTTTGTGATAAGATCACGCACCTGCAATGCAACGTTGATTAATGATGGGCCGCTAATATGTCACTTTCAAATCTTGACATAACGTTGTATATGCATAATAGATTAAGCGATATTCTCTTTCCTCTACTACTTGTCCTGCAGATGCTATTCCCTTCAATATTCACCTTCTCTCCGTTTCCTGCACATCAATTTGCATGCAATGGCTATATACAAATACTAGTTTGGTCCTGTCTTAATTTGTTTCCAAAACTACGACAATGGCAACAGCAACATTGGGGGGTTTCCACGGGCCAATGTTTGCAGCTTCCTGGACTAAAAATTGCACTTTCGAGTGGTTGCCAAATGGTCAGTACTTACTTCTCCTTGCCATATAAGATTATATGTGTTTCTAGTTTACATTGCAAAACAAATGTTTTTATGTTTTTGACAAGGTGATACTTTAAACTAGTCTAGTCTTTAGGGAAGAGAAATCGATCTTAACTGTAAGGGGATGGACACATTGCCTTAATCAGTTGGCTTAAGACATTTCATTGCATAAGGACTTTAATCAACTTTTTATTATGTTATTCAGGATTTCGGCAGAAATATATTCTCTCAACGAGCTCAACTGCTAAGCTCAATTTTCACGGCATGCCATTTCTTGGGGGTGGCTTCAAGAAAACAGCAGCAACTCATGTCACATCTCCCAACTCATCTTCCCAGAGTGTGACAACGGGAATACTTGATGCATGGAACGATGAATATGGTGGAGTCATAATTAATTCGGAGAGCCTTCCCACGAGTGCAAATGCTTTTGCATCCGCTTTTCAGGCTTCCTTGTCCAACTGGAAAATGAAGGTATAATATATGGGAAAATGAGACACATTCGTACCATATTAGTATGGATAGGCACTTTGTAAACATGGCTCAAAAGTACTATTATGTGCAGGGAAAAAGGGGGGTATGGCTCAAAATACTGCAAGAGCAAGCTGATCTTGTTCCAATTGCAGTTCAGGTAACAATTCCATAATATATGTAAAAAAATGAACTATTTCTCAATCTACATGTGTCATCCTTGCGCTGAGGCTATAGTAATTTTCTTTATACCGTTCCAAATGGACATAATATTGTTGTCCAATGGGACCTCAGAAACACTCGATTCTCATCATAACTTAATAAATTTATGGTTTTAGTTAATTACAACACATCTGACTGGCTTATGTTAATCAGGAGGGTTTCAACTATCACCATGCTGAACCAGGATATATTATGCTAACATACTGGATTCCGAAGGAACCATGTGTGCTTCCTGCTAGCCCCTCGCATCAAATTGGTATCGCAGGATTTGTGATCAACGATAAAAGAGAGGTATATATCTATGGAAATCCAATAAAGTTTTGTTCGCGTTTTCGCGGCCATTGCATAATTTGTAAATTTTTCTGACTGAAGCAATTTACATAACATAATTAAGGTTCTTGTGGTCAAAGAGAAGTGCCCTTGTAGTTGCTCCGGTGTGTGGAAGTTGCCCACTGGCTATATCAACAAGGTGAATAATTCTCATTTATTTGTTTCATGGAATTTCGGTTTCCTTGATGGAAAAGAAATAATGTGATTCTCTTCTTAATTTTCTTAGTCTGAAGACATATTTTCTGGAGCTATCAGAGAAGTAAAAGAAGAAACTGGTGTAAGAACATAATTTTAATCATTGCCTTAATTACTTCTTAATAATAATCTAATCACACCCACTAATCACACTTTTTAATGTTCACAGATTGACACCACTTTCCTAAAAATGGTAGCTTTCAGGTGAGGTCTTGGCACCAATCTCTCCTTAGTTTGCTATGTATATAAATATGCATATGAAATTAATATCTATATATTTTCTTCTGCTAGGCACGCACACTTGGTAGCATTTGACCAGTCAGACTTGCTCTTTGTCTGCATGCTCAAGCCATTATCCTACGAGGTCACAATAGATGACAAGGAAATCCAAGCTGCAAAGGTATAATCAAATTTTACTCACATTAAATTTCTTTGAAAGCGATCATGGTTAGACCAGTTATTAGACGTCATGTCCTGTAAATTAGACTAATAAAAAATATTCGTCTTATCAAAAACTTTATCGGGAAATTAATTTTTGTTCCCACTCCGATTTCTGAGTGATTGATGTGTTTGATCATCTTCTTTTTCAGTGGATGCCTGTTGATGAGTTTATTACCCAGCCATATTACCAAGATGACTGCTTGTCAAAGAAAGTCATTGATATATGCATGGCGGCCAAAGAAGATCGTTACAGTGGATTCATTGGTCATCAGCTCAACTCCAAAATTGATGGAAAAGTGTCTTACTTGTATTATGATGAATTCAAAAATATTTAGAATTTCATCTTATATTATTTTCCAAGGGGACATATTTAATTATCCCCTGAATCTATTATATATCATATTAAAAAGATGATAATTTCCTCCATAATCTAATCTATAACATTATTAAATAACTTGTCAAATTAATGACATTTTTTTTTTTATAACACAAAACCAAGTTGTTTGAGAATGAATTTCACATCGATGGGAGGATGGACCTTACATGGGCTATAAGTTTGGCTGCTTCACATATTTCTAATTGGTTTTATGGTGGAATCTAAACTCTTTGCATGGTATTCAGAGCATGTAGTCCCACGTGTAGAACCCAAAGGCCACACGTGCTCCACTTTATCCTATTATGTTGTTCACGTGTTAGATTTAAAAATACGTCATAGGAGAATGAATCTCACATTGATGAGAATGGACTACTTGAAAATTCGCCACACTTAATTACCTCGTGAATCTAATGTATATCATATTATAAAGATGATAATTTCCTCTAACACTATGTTATTTTTTATATTAAAACTCCAACTGCATGCATACAGTTGAGGGATACACTTGCGATAAATTATAAAAAAGAGGATATTTTAGGTGCATACAAAACTCAAAACTTAAAGAACTTAGTTGCATAGGACGCTATGCTGAATTATATATAAAAAAAACTTCACAATTAATCTTATCTAATTACGGTAAAGATCAAATTGGACAGTGGCATCTGTTGAACGCATGCGTACTCTAATGTGGAACTCATGTACATCAAGAGACTTAACACTCATCTTTTACAAATAAAGAGCATCGATCCACCTATATATCATAGTTATAAGATTGTGACAAGAACACCTGAAGATGGTTCTGCAGAGTACATCAAACCCTATACCCTAATCCGACCATACAAATACATGTGGCACACAGCCCTTGAATGTGACAAATCCAACCTACCCAAATCCGCTGTGTTTTGATGGCCTTTTTGCAGACCCACCCGAACCCGTTGCAAGGCAATCCTGCATACTCAGTTGTCAAGTAAGTTGTGTGAAGTTGTTCCTCATACGACGGTGTGTTTTTTTAAGACAACTTTTGTTTTTGATAGTTATGTTTGAGTTTTGAACAGCTTTTTATGCTATCTTTTATACTCTCTATTGGTGTCTGAAACATCTTTTCCCAAAAAAAAGTTAATCACACACATTTATAGGATATATTAATTTGTTATTGTAGTTGTATTTTAAGTTTATCACACACAATTATTTGAAAATTATATATATATAGTTAACTTGAAATACCGTTACAGTGACATTTCAAGTGCATGTAAATTATTTTTTTCTTATTTCAAGCGGTACTTTGTTTTAGTGTTTTTCTTTTTGAAATTATCATCAGGCAGTACTTTGTTAATGTGGATGACACTGTTGCCTAAAAGGCAAGCCTTTTCCTTTATTGAATGCAGTTTTCCCTCCAATTTTCTGATAAAGAAATTACATGTTCATATTGGATTGCAATTTTTACTATCTGTGTAAAATTAGTTCTTGTGTTCGCTTCTGCCTTTCGCAGATTGTTGTTCACAGCAATAGTCCAAGGGGCACACATTTCCGGAGGGCAGGACCGCGCCAAAGAGTACGTATTTTCGTGTATTTTACAAACGAATTTTGACATGATTAAATACCATGATCCTGTCAATTGACTTTGTTGCTTCTTTGTCATCAGGTGTATTTTCAAGCGGATGATGTTAATGCCTGTATTGTGACATGTGGGGGTCTATGCCCTGGACTCAACAAAGTGATTAGGGAGATAGCATGTTGCTTGCACCATATGTATTATGTAAAGGAAGTTATCGGAATTGATGCAAGTGATTTATAGTGTCAAACTGATTTATGGAGATTTGGATTGCATGATTCAGTGGCAACATTGGCTAATGGAGTACGTAAATTTGCAGGAAGGATACCGGGGTTTCTACTCGCGTAACACGATTCCTCACTCTAAGAGCGTGAACAACATCCATAAAAGCGGCGGAACAATTATGTTCTCAGCAAGTGGAAGGACTAGAGCAATTAATCAAGCATTGCACTTCATTATTTGCAGATCCTACGTATAAGATCTGAGCGGTTCCAAGAAATGCCCTCCAATAACGTGTACTGCATGCTTCTTGCTCTAAGCGCTGTCCATGGAGCAATGGCTGGTTACACAGGATTTACAGTTGGGCCTGTCAATGGGAGACATTCTTATATACCCTTCCATGTGAGTGCGTCAAATCATGCATAAAACTAGGAGGCATACGCAGACATACTGACGTTTAACAAAAAATAGAACGGGAGGGACACTAAACATACAATAGAAGAATACTAAAACGTGAGCCATGTATGGTTAAATGTCTGTTTAGGGTCCTCAACTCTATGTTGATTAAAAGTTTGTAACTAGTTTTGCTAACGCACATTATCCGTAAAATTTATCTATCCACTACTACAAAAGGGTCTTATAGTGTCAGTAGGTGGTGTCGGTTTAATATAATATAGTGTCGAACTAGACAATTGCGACACTTATTGAATATGACGTCGGATTTACTGTCACTTATAAGTGTCATAAACATTTAATGTCGCTTTTAAACCGACGTAAACATTTAATGTCGCTTAAAACCGACATACATTTTAATAATTTTTAAATACTAGTGGCGCTTTAAATAAAACAGTGTCGCTTTAAATAATACAGTGTCGCTTTTAAGCGACATTAAATAATACAATGTCACTTTAAATAAAACAATGTCGCTTTTAACAATATTAAATATAACATGAACTTATAATATTTAGTAATATAAGAATTTATTATGTTAAATTAATAATTAGAATTTATTTATACTTTCATTAAGTATAACATAAGATTTTGTGGTATCCACTAGTGTAAATATTTTAAATTGAAGATCGAGTTCATTCATTGTATTCATATAGGGTCAAGGAGTGTAGCTGTAAAAAATCATCAAAATTGGAGTTCAAATCACCGTTAAATCGTTATTTTTCGTTCATAACCGTCGAAAAGTTTTGTCCCGTTACTTGATCTCTGAATGTTTATTTTTTGCCATTTTTGGCGTATGCAATCTCGAAGCATGCATAAACAAGTTTGATGGTTGGATCATTGAAATTAGTTTCGTAAAATGCGTATCCCATCAAAACGATAGATTCACTAACACTTAGAATTTATTTATACTTTTTATTAAGTATAATATAAGATTTTGTGGTATCCACTAGAATAAATATTTTAAATTGAAGATCAAATTCATTCATTGTATTCATATAGGGTCAAGGAGTGTAGCTGTAAAAAATCATCTAAATCGGAGTTAAAATAATCGTTAAATTGTGATTTTTTGTTTATAACCGTCGAAAAGTTTTGTCTCGTTACTTGATCTCTGAATGTTTGTGTTTTTTCCATTTTTGGTGTATGTGATCTCGAAGCTTGTATAAACAAGTTTGATGGTTGGATCGTTGAAATTAGTTTCATAGAATGCGTATCCCATCAAAACGATAGATTCATTGACACTTAGAATTTATTTATACTTTTATTAAATATAACATAAGATTTGGTGGTATCCATTAGTGTAAATATTTTAAATTGAAGATCGAATTCATTCATTGTATTCATATAGGGTCAAGGAGTGTAGCTGTAAATAATAATCTAAATCGGAGTTAAAATAACCGTTAAATTGTGATTTTTCGTTTATAACCGTCGAAAGGTTTTGTCTCATTACTTGATCTCTGAATGTTTGTTTTTTGCCATTTTTGGCGTATGCAATCTCGAAGTATGTATAAACAAGTTTGATGGTTAAATCGTTGAAATTAGTTTCGTAGAATGCGTATCCCATCAAAACGATAGATTCACTAACACTTAGAATTGATTTATACTTTCATTAAGTATAACATAAGATTTTGTGGTATCCACTAGTGTAAATATTTTAAATTGAAGATCGATTTCATTCATTGTATTCATATAGGGTCAAGGAGTGTAGCTGTAAAAAATCATCAAAATCGGAGTTCAAATCACCGTTAAATCGTGATTTTTCGTTGATAACCGTCGAAAAATTTTGTTCCGTTACTTGATCTCTGAATGTTTGTTATTTGTCATTTTTGGCGTATGCGATCTTGAAGCATGTATAAACAAGTTTGATGGTTGGATCGTTGAAATTAGATTCGTAGAATGCGTATCCCCATCAAAACGATAGATTCGCTAACACTTAGAATTTATTCATACTTTTATTAAGTATAACATAAGATTTTGTGGTATCCACTAGTGTAATATATATTAAATTGAAGATCGAATTCATTCATTATATTCATATAGGGTCAAGGAGTGTAGCTGTAAAAAATCATCTAAATTGGAGTTAAAATAACCGTTAAATTGTGATTTTTCGTTTATAACCGTCGAAAAGTTTTGTCTCGTTACTTAATCTCTGAATGTTTGTTATTTGTCATTTTTGGCGTATGCGATCTTGAAGCATGTATAAACAAATTGGATGGTTGGATCGTTGAAATTAGTTTCGTAGAATGCGTATCCCATCAAAACGATAGATTCACTAACACTTATAATTTATTTATACTTTTATTAAATATAACATAAGATTTGTGGTATCCACTAGTGTAAATATTTTAAATTGAAGATCGAATTCATTCATTGTATTCGTATAGGGTCAATGAGTGTAGCTATAAAAAAATAATCAAAATTGGAGTTAAAATCACCGTTAAATCGTGATTTTTTGTTTATAACCATTGAAAAGTTGTCCCGTTATTTAATCTTTGAATGTTTGTTTTTTGCGCTTTTTTGAAGTATGCGATCTCGAAACATATATAAACAAGTTTGACGGTTGGATCGTTGAAATTAGTTTCGAATGATGCGTATCCCATCAAAACGATAGATTCACTAACACTTAGAGTTTATTTATATTTCCATTAAGTATAACATAAGATTTTGTGGTATCCACTATTGTAAATATTTTAAATTGAAGATTGAATTCATTCATTGTATTCATATAGGATCAAGGAGTGTAGTTATAAAAAAATAATCAAAATCGGAGTTAAAATAACTGTTAAATCGTGGTTTTTCGTTTTGTAACCGTCGAAAAGTTTTGTCCCGTTACTTGA